ATCAGGAGAGAAATTGACTGATTAAACTATATTATGAATGACCATCTAATTTGGCTTTTTATTATCCTGTCTTCTTATCCCATAAACGGATAGAGTTATCTCCACTACCAGATGCTAATGTAGTACCATCAGGAGAGAAATTGACTGAATTAACACAACTTGAATGACCATCTAATTTGGCTTTTTATTATCCTGTCTTAACATCCCATAAACGGATAGAGTTATCCAAACTACCAGATGCTAATGTAGTACCATCAGGAGAGAAATTGACTGATAGAATTCCATTTGAATGACCATCTAATTTGGCTTTTTATGATCCTGTCTTAACATCCCATAAACGGATAGAGTTATCTGCGCTACCAGATGCTAATGTAGTACCATCAGGAGAGAAATTGACTGAATAAACTGTATTAGAATGACCATCTAATTTGGCTTTTTATTATCCTGTCTTAACATCCCATAAACGGATAGAGTTATCATAACTACCAGATGCTAATGTAGTACCATCAGGGAGAGAAATTGACTGAATTAACACAACTTGAATGACCATCTAATTTGGCTTTTTATTATCCTGTCTTAACATCCCATAAACGGATAGAGTTATCCAAACTACCAGATGCTAATGTAGTACCATCAGGAGAGAAATTGACTGAATAAACCCAATGAGAATGACCATCAAATTTGGCTTTTTAATATCTTGTCTTAACATCCCATAAACGAATAGACTTATCTGAACTACCAGATGCTAATATAGTACCATCAGGAGAGAAATTGACTGACCATACTGCTGATGAATGACCATCCAATTTGGCTTTTTATTATCCTGTCTTAACATCCCATAAACAGATAGAGTTATCATAACTACCAGATGCTAATGTAGTGCCATCAGGAGAGAAATTGACTGAAGTAACTGCCCCATGAATGACCATCCTAATTTGGCTTTTTATTATCCTGTCTTAACATCCCATAAACGGATAGACTTATTATCACTACCAGATGCTAATGTAGTACCATCAGGAGAGAAATTGACTGAATGAACCCAATTAGTTTGACCATCTAATTTGGCTTTTTATTATCCTGTCTTAACATCCCATAAACGGATAGAGTTATCTGCACTACCAGATGCTAATGTAGTACCATCAGGAGAGAAATTGACTGAATGAACCCAATTAGTATGACCATCTAATTTGGCTTTTTATTATCCTGTCTTAACATCCCATAAACGGATAGAGTTATCTGAACTACCAGATGCTAATGTAGTACCATCAGGAGAGAAATTGACTGAATAAACATAATGTGAATGACCATCTAATTTGGTCTTTTTATTATCCTGTCTTAACATCCCATAAACGGATAGAGTTATCTCCACTACCAGATGCTAATGTAGTACCATCAGGAGAGAAATTGACTGAATAAACATAATGTGAATGACCATCTAATTTGGCTTTTTATTATCCTGTCTTAACATCCCATAAACGGATAGAGTTATCTGCACTACCAGATGCTAATGTAGTACCATCAGGAGAGAAATTGACTGAATGAACCCAATTAGTATGACCATCTAATTTGGCTTTTTATTATCCTGTCTTAACATCCCATAAACGGATAGAGTTATCTGAACTACCAGATGCTAATGTAGTACCATCAGGAGAGAAATTGACTGAATAAACATAATGTGAATGACCATCTAATTTGTCTTTTTATTATCCTGTCTTAACATCCCATAAACGGATAGAGTTATCTCCACTACCAGATGCTAATGTAGTATCATCAGGAGAGAAATTGACTGAATTAACACAACTTGAATGACCATCTAATTTGGCTTTTTATTATCCTGTCTTAACATCCCATAAACGGATAGAGTTATCTGCACTACCAGATGCTAATGTAGTATCATCAGGAGAGAAATTGACTGAATTAACACAACTTGAATGACCATCTAATTTGGCTTTTTATTATCCTGTCTTAACATCCCATAAACGGATAGAGTTATCTGCACTACCAGATGCTAATGTAGTACCATCAGGAGAGAAATTGACTGAATGAACCC